TTTTTCCTTTTGATCTTATCTCAACAAGACCAAGACTGTATCTGGAACATGAGTTATCACCTGTTATCTTTCCAAGAGTCTTTCCTGTTTCACAATGTTGCTTTTGTACCTAAGAAAGATAAAGATGAATATAAGATCACATTTTAATTTTATAAAATGAAAATTTTAACATTTCTAAATGGCAACAATCACTTTATAGTCTTACAAATCCTCAAATACTTATGCTTCTTGATTTTAAATATCCAACATTGAGCATGTACGTACACCTATGCAATGTGTACCTTATGGTAATATACTTATTTTCTTAACATCTCACTAGTAGTTAATGTTTTTTAGCTATATGCTTCATTTATATTCAGATGATTCTAACGTCTCTTCTGCCTATGAATTAGAAGTTATTTATACAATATCCAAGGATAGAAAAAATGCAACCACATTGTATCTCTGACTTAAAAACAGTTGCATTTCGGAGTTTTATGTACAAAGTTTGTTTGTGACTCAATTTTTATTTTCACGTAACTTTTTCTTTTTAACCACAATTGTATTGCCATCATTTCAGAAAAGTATATAAGCTGTGCCTTTTAGTAACTAATTAATCTCTTGCTTTTATCTGCCACTCTTTCATCTTCTCACTGTAACCATACTTTCATCGGAGTAACTACCTAAAACAATTTCTGTGAAAAAAAAAAATCCTCAAATAGTGCCTGCTGCAAAAAGAATAAAATCTAGATTCTTCACTCAGCTTAGGCCAAAAGGCCTTCCCCAACTGGCTACCAATTACCTCCTGTGTATCACAGACTACGTAGGCCTGGACAGGGATGATGACTCTTGTGTGTGCTATAATGTGCTGCCCAGATCTCTGTTCAGGGATGAGGTACTCACTCCCCTGGCCGCTGACAGTTCCTAGCTGAGTCTCTCTCTGGTAATTACCCTCAACTAAAAAGAACCGCTCACCCAAGGTCACATCTCCTTGTTGGTGGCAGCCGGTATCTACTGACTGGTACATGCAGATATACAAAGGCCCTATCCTCAAGCTTCCGGGAAGGACAACCCTACAGAGACATCCCAGCTGCAGTGTTCTCCATGGAGCCTTTGTCGTAGGTGCAACCTGGTTCAAACCCTCCCTCTGCCCAGGTACTTCCTGCACTTTCCCACAGGTGAAAATTGCAGGGATTCTTCTCAATAACTTCCTGCGTGCAAATCTCTGTTTCAGAATTTGTTTCTTAGGAAAAACAACCTCAGACAGTGGCTTCATGGGGACAGGGAGGAGAGATCACAGTTTAGTCAGAGACTAACATAAACCACTAAATCTAGTGCATGGTATTCAGTGTCATAGGGGAAGAATCATACAATCCTGTGGGACTGGAAGAAACAACTTATTCTGCTCGGGGTATGACCAAGAGAGAAATAGGAAAGATTTCTCAGAAGAGGGGACCATTTGAGCTTCACTTTGAAGAATGAATGAGTAGACATTCTTTTCACAGAGTAGGGAGTGACGTACTCTGGGCTTGTAAAAGAATGTTGCTTACTGAAGATGTCGCAGAAATCTCAGTGTGGCAGCTGGAAGGTGGAGTGCATTGTGGGGGGCGGGGAGAGTGGTGGAGTTGGATCAGGAGTCAGGCCACAAAGCACTTTCCTGGTCTTGAAGGGTTTTAAGCTGGAGTGTGTGCCTTCCTCCTCACTCCCCATCCATCAAACATGGCAACCCTATTAAACATACAAAATGTGATTCACATAGACATATTTGGGGACATCCCTTTTTCACTTATATGCTTAAAGACTTTCTGTTTTCTTCAGAACTATTTTATCGACCATTTCATTTTAATCTACTTCAGGAAAGCCTAATATTTATAAGAAGAATGCATCTTTTTGTATGGCTTTAATATAATCATAAGATGCAACAAAAATCTGCCTCTATAGTACTTGAAATTCTACCATTAGCGATTTCTGGAATTATAAGTGGAAAGACACAGTAAAGGTAATATAGTCCAGGTTTCTAACAGATGAATCCCCCTTTCAAAACTCTGATAAGGGGTTATCCAATTGTTAATAGTATATTTCTGATAATGGAAACAGTCACTCTTTCCTATTGTTGATATATCACAGAGCAATAAAATTGCAGAGTTTGAATTAATTGTCATTTTATAGGTGAGAAGACTGAGGTCTAGAAATAAATTATTTACCCAAGGTCATACAGTAGATACTGACAAAAACAGAAGGATAATTCATATTCTTTATCTAGCAAATTTTCCTCTCCATGCCTACATAATGAATTCCTCAGATCCCTTTCTGAATTACTGGGAGTCGGGACATTGGGGTATCAGTTCCACCTCTGCCCCTCATGAGCTCCAGAACTCAGGTCCAACTGATCAGTTCTCCAGATCTATGTGTGCACCTATGCAATGAGAGCCTGGAACAGAGGGACTCCCAGCACCCTCCTCCCTGACATTGTGAGTTTCTCTAAGAGCAGGTGTGCCCAAGGGGACTAGTGGGCCAGCTGGAGACAGGAAAGGTGGGGGTGGGGGGTGGGGGGGAGGATGCAGTTAAGGGAGTTGGCTAGTGAAGGCTAATGTGTCCTCCTCCATCATTCGCTAGCCCGGGATGCCAGTCAACTGCGTTCTCAGAACCCTTATTTTCTGATTTGGGTGCATTTTGCAATAGGCTGATTTTAGACATATTTTACACTTTTTTTCACTGTAGCAGAAATGTTTGGATTACCTGTCATTTGAATAGAACTTCTATAGACCATAAAGTCTTTCCATAACAACTGACTAAACCTTATATGTTGCTGCTAGTTTTGAGTAAATGAGCTGAATCTTGTAGCCAAGCCTCAGTGCAAACAAAAACATTTTCTGGTCAAGCATTTTCTGGTTGTTCAACTCCATTACAGGGCTGGCTTTTAAAAAAAAAGAATTAAAACCACAGAAGAGCAAAACACAAGCCTTGGGAAGACAATTTCCAACCACATTAGCTCAGATCATCAGGGTAGAAAAGAAGCAGGCCCTCATTCTCCAGACCATCATCATCTCCAGACTCTCGTCCTGTGCTCTTCTGCTATTTTAATTTCACCACTTCAAAATGGGGGAAAAAAATAGGTTAATAGTTTCCATGAGTTTAGACTGTGACCAGAGGCGTACTAAGCAATTTCAGAAGCTCAGGCAACCGCAGCTTTGAGGAAAGGATGATGATGGATTTACCAATTCATCTTGGGATGGATTCCAGAGTTAAGGGAGTCAGGCCAATACTGTGCTGCCAGGGTGGGATGTAAACAATATTCCTTCATTCATTCTTTTTGCACACATTCATCCCAGGCTTATTTTTATTCCAGACAGTATACAGGGTGCAGTATGGGACAGAGGAAATATATTCTTAAGGCACAGGCCCTCCCCTTAATGAAATTACAGTTTAGTAGAGGAAATATACATATGTACAAATAATTTTAATAAAATTCATACTGTAAGCATTGCAAGCAAAGTAAATATATAGCATTCAGTAATGGAAGACAAAGAAACAGTTAATTCTAGATGGGGCCATCAAGGAAGGCTTCACTGGGGAATTGCCTTCTGGTCTGTAGCTTGAAAGGTCAAAATAGCAAATTGCTAAATTGCTTCCCTAAAAGAATTAAGGAAGCTTTCTGTAGGCTTGAAGAAGAGTGAGAAATCTGGGATGTTAGGAGAAGCTGAGCCTAGAAAGGAGGGTTGGATACCATATAAGGAATTAGCTCTTTTCACATTGTGGAGAAACCCTTAAGTTTTTGTTATCAGGAAAGGTACTCAGTCACATCTGTGTTTTGGAAAGTAAATCAGAAGTCATTTTGGGACAAGGGGAGTATTATAAGAGAAAAGATGCAAACAAGGAAGCCAATTCAGGGGCCACTGCTATAGGTCAGACATGAGGACACAGTTACCTATGTGCAGCCACTTTTTTCTTCATAGCCATTCAGAGATTCTCCTAGCAAGAGGGAAGTTACCCCTTAATTTCCACATTCCATCCAGTTCTGCATCTTTCTAATGAGATGCACATCCCAGGTTTATGCCTGATTGTAAACTCAGTGAGTCAGTTCAGATATCTCAACTGGAATATAGCGTTTTACATGTAAAACATGGTGGTTTGGTAAGAACGTGGGATTCTATGGAAGGGTTAACAGCCAATCTATCTAAGTCCTGACTCACTAAAAGTGGTCTTTTAGGAGGTGTTCTGTATTTTTAAAGCTCAGCATATTTTTAAAGCCAGATAAATTGGCTTTCTTAATTCACTTTTCAAAATCAGACCCCTTCTAGGTTCAACATTTCTATCAAGAGTTTACAAACCCTCAACTTGGAAACGGTGTTTGAATCAAGGTTTTAAAGGGTCAGAAGCCTCGTTGATTATGCTGAGCTCTGATTTGGGTTCTGCAGCTAGTATGCTGCCTCGGGCATCAGACCACTCTCTAAAAAGTTAGGGGCCTTGGTGACCCCACTAGGTCTTTGATGATGAATCAAGTTTTAGAAATAGTAGTGCAGCTTTCTCCAAATGGAGAACCTGGGTAGTATGGTTCAGGGGTCAACAAACTAAAACCACGGGCCAAATCCAGTACATTGCCTGTTTTTGTAAATAGTTTTACTGGATGCCCATTTGTTTACATGCTGTCTCTGGCTGCCTTTGAGCTACAACAAAGAAATTGAGTTATTACGACAAAGCCAGAAATATTTACTATATGGGCCTTTGCAGAAAAGTTTTCCATCACCCTTGCTATAGGAAACAAGGAAAGGAACAAGGGTAGCAGTCAGAAAACATGCGTTCTAAGTCCTGTATTTTCCATCTACTACCTGGGTGATCTTAGAAAAGCTACTTGACCCATTGAATTGTGTTTCCTTCTCTCTATAATGCGGAGTACACTCTGCCTTCCTCTGAGTACTGTGATGAGCACACGAGCCAATGTGTTTTGTAAAAATGCTCTTCACGCAGCATGGAGCCCATCAGGCCTCTCAGCCTGATGTTGTTTTTCTTTCCTTCTTCAGAATACTCTGGAGCAGTGCAACGTGTGTTCCAAGCCCATCATGGAGCGGATTCTCCGAGCCACTGGGAAGGCCTATCACCCTCACTGCTTCACCTGCGTGATGTGCCACCGCAGCCTGGATGGGATCCCGTTCACTGTGGATGCTGGCGGCCTCATTCACTGCATCGAGGACTTCCACAAGTAGGCAACCTACTCTCCTTCCTCCAGCCTGCCAGTCCTCTTGAGGTTGTTCTTATTCCCTCGCATCTGGGCCATACATTCTTCTCTCTCAGAGCTATAGAATCTCAGGATTTAGTGGGACCTTTAAAAGAGCAAATTTATCCCCTCATCCAAATACAGGCATTAACATCAGGTGGTCATCCCGCCTGATCTCTGCTTCCCTGGGGCTTGTCCATTGCATCTATGTGACAAAGTTGACTCAACTGTGGCTCCAACTGTTACGAAGTTCACTCAACTGTAGAGTATTATACTAGAAAGAGGCAGGATCCTGGCCTAAACCTGAACAAGATATGTGACATTTGGCAAATGGCTCAATTTCTCTGAGCTCTTCAATTTAGTCATTCAAAAACGCTGTCCTAAAGCTCTGTCAGCTGTGACAACTCAGGGTTCTCTCAAAAGCTAACCTCTGCATTCCTGCCGCTCTGCGTAGAGGAGGTTGTGGTAGACAGACACAGAACACAATCCAGTTCCTCTTACTAATGCAGGCCTCACACATATTCAGAGGCAGTCATGCCATTGTCGACATATTCATGTGCTTCCCTAGTCTTTTCCCCCACCCAGATCTTCTCTTCCTTAGGTGTTTTTCTAACGACATTCATCAATGTAAATTGTGCAATGTTTTGAGGAGGATTAGAAAGTAGGGCCTCAAGATCAAGGCCAGTTATGTCCCCATTTCCTCATTCCTCTCATTGGTTGGTCCTCCTTTCCTCTGTGATAGCTGGAGTCTCGAAGAAAATTATACAGCTTTGTATTTTGCTCATTTTGATTTGGCCAGTTGGTTAGTTGGTTGATAACATTTGTTGTGTATTTCTAAGAACTGTATTAAAGCTATAGATGTGATTTGTGACCGGTAGGCTCGAAGGTTTTCCGGCTTGTGTTTGTTAGGCAGTGGCTTTGAGGACAGCCTTTGAGGCTGTCAAGGACATGAAGCTCGTATTGCTCACCCCTTTGGGTACCTGTTCTACGGCCTCCAAATGTATGTCTTGTGGGTTAATTTTCACCTCTCTGTGGATTGTCAACAACCAGGAAGTACTCACCACAAGCAGTTTGGGGATCTGGGACTCATATTTTAAAAATGAAATTCCTGACCACTTTCCAAGTAGCAAAGAAAGTGTAAACCTCACTAAAAGACATGAGACTGAATGAATTTTAAAAGACCCAGAGGCAGAAATTTTCAACCTGAATTAGACAAGGAAGGGCTCACTTTTAAAGGGCAGTCACAGCATAAATTGTACTTCACATTATTGATATTTTAACTTGTAATTACATGTGAAAAAAAAAAAAAAGAAAAAACCCTGCCTCTATTTAAGGGAAGTGAAAAGATACCAATGGGAAGAAAGTTCTGTCACTGTTTCTCTCCTTACCCTAATCCAAGAAAGCTTGATAGATATAATCAGAGCACACATGTTTCTTTTGCTGGAAAAGATTGATATATTACACCCCTCAATTAAAACAGGAAATCAATTCTGACAAATGTAAGTTTATATCTGTGCCATTTATCTTTCATTTCTAGGAGTGGGGAGCATAATTAGAGACTTCCAGCTTGTGACATAAGTGTGCGGGTCTGAAAGCTCCAAAAAAGTATACTTGAGCAACTAAAGGGGAAAAAAAAAAATTGAACCCCCCTGCTACCCCCATCCCTAGTTAAATGCATGTTAAAACATAAATTATTCTTTAAGAATGATGTCTTCATGATTGGCAGTTATGTACGGGGAGAAGCTTCTTGATCTTTTCCCATTTCTCAAAGGAAAATAAGAGAATGTTTTATAGAACTCTTATTTCTGAGCCTTAAAATTACTAGAATGCAAAGCAGCTAAAAGTCCAGCACAGGATGGGCTCTGGAAGGCCAAGGAGAGGGTAGCTAAAAGGATACAACCTTTTTCTCCACACAGATTTTTGGGATTTTGTTTTTGGTCATTCTGAATAGGTCTCCCTCTGTGGACTTTTGGGAAATCTATTTCAATTCAATGCAACTGACATTTATAAAGAACCCTCTATGTGCCAGTTACTGTGCTATGTGTTGAAGAAGAGAGATATAAGGAGAGAAATTGCACAGATATATATAAAGAAGTCTCTGTCAGCAAGTAGCTTGCCAGGAGGAGGGCAGAGAAAATGTGCAGACATAAGGCAGAAAGGGCTGAATGCCATGAGGCCAGCACAGGTAAGGTCTTGTGCTGTCAGAGTCAGAAGAGATTACTTGGCTCTGCGATCAGGGTAGGCTTCATGGAAGGAGAATTTGAAGAGTGTTTTTTAGTTTTTTGGTTTTTTTCTGAGACAGAGTCTCATTCTTTTGCCCGGGCTAGAGTGCCGTGGCGTCGACCTAGCTCAGAGCAACCTCAAACTCCTGGGCTCAAGCGATTCTTCTGCTTCAGCCTCCTGAGTAGCTAGGACTACAGGCATGTGCCACCATGCCCGGCTAATTATTTCTATTTTTAATTGTTTGGCCAATTTCTTTCTATTTTTAGTAGAGACAGGGTCTCACTCTTGCTCAGGCTGGTCTCGAACTCCTGAGCTCAAGCAATTTTCCCGCCTCGGCCTCCCAGAGTGCTAGGATTACAGGCATGAGACACCACACCCAGCCTGGAGAGTGTTTTAAGTGTGAAACAAGGAGATTCCTGGCAGAGGAAACAAATCAGCCAAAGAGCGAGGGCACAGAGTTAGGACAGGGTTCTTATATTCCAGGAAGGTTTGCTTTGCGGTAACTAGGGCAGCCTGGGAGTGCAGGTTACCTTAAGGTACAGGAAGACCCATGAGAAGGGATTTATCTTACCTGCTTGGTCTATCTTTTAAACCACTGCTTCCCAAACTTTACCATTCCTACAATTCACTGAGGGATCTTGTTAAATATCATATTCTAATTCAGGTCTGGGATGGGGCCTGAGATTCTGTATTTCTGACAAGTTCCCAGGTGATCTTGGACCACACTTGAAGTAACAACCTTCTGAAATACTATGTTTGAAGCCTCGTGAATGGGCCATCCCCTACATCAGCAGTTTGAAGCCTCATGAATGGGCCATCCCCTACATCAGCAGTTTGAAGCCTCATGAGTGGGCCATCCCCTACATCAGCAGTCTCCAACCTTTTTGGCACCAGGGACCATTTTCACGGAAGACAATTTTCCCATGGACCTGGGAAGTGGAGGATGGTTTATGGATGATCCAAGCACATTACGTTTATTGTGCCCTTCATTTCTATTATTATTACATTATAATATATAACAAAATAATTATACAACTCATCATAGGTTGGGGACCCCTGCCCCACATAACCACCTTTGGTCAAAGTTGGCGCGCGTCCTCCAGCCTATTGGACATGAACTGCTTCACAGATGCCATTTCAGGTGACTGCAATAGACTCAGTTCCCTACGGCCTGACCGCCCGCCCACCCCAACACATACATACATACTTTCCCACTTTACCTAAATGGCTGTTTTTAAAGACTCAACTCAATTACATTTCCTCGAAGAAGACTTCTCTGATCTCAATTCCTCCCTATTCCCATGTTTGAATGTACGTCTCCTTCTCTATGTTTGTGTTTTATACAGTCTTGTAAATCTGCCGTAGGTAGCACTCACCACCATCTGAACTCCTTCTCAGTGGGTGCTGGAGTCCCTGCTTATTCCTGTATTCCCAGGGCCAGTACAATGAGAAGGCCCAGAAAAGCGGGTTTATTTAACTAACTCTTTCCGTGTGTTGAGGCTTTATTCCACTATCTGTGCTTTCTTGTCAGGGATATTACCCTTATTCATTTGTTTAGTCAGCATCCATTCGTTGATTGCCAGAAACGTGCCGGGATACAAGTTGACTAAGATGATCCCTCTCTGAGCCTTGGCTCCCTTGGCTGTAACGTAGAAATGATAAAACTATGTCCTTGTAATGTTGCTGTCAGTAGAAAATAACATCAAGTGTGTAAAGTGCTTACCAGGGCTTGGCACATAATAAGCACTCAATAAATTGTGGCCTTAATCATCAAAAGTGTTTTTATCAAATTTATTAGCATTATTGTCCGCTTAGTAAACTATGCCTTGAAAAGGACCACCTGTGATTTTGAACCCTCCTTGAACTGCTGTCCAAGGAACACAATGGAGACTGTGGAAGCACCTCTTGTCTCGTCACTTTGCTTTTTCCCATCATGGAAATGTGGCTAATTGGTAGGAAAGAATCATTACTCAGCAAGAATACAGTTTGTCTTTTCAAAAGGGAAGGAGCTTGAGATTGAACATAAAGTTCAAGCAAAATCTTTTTTTAATAGAGAAATATGGCAGATACTTGACTTCATTAAATATAGCCCAAATTTCTTTTTTTCTGCACCAGTTATGGTGGTTGTTTCTGGAGTCTCAGAGATAGAGCAAAGTCCTGTCCTTTGGAAGCTTACAGTTTAACAGTTCCCTGGTCCCCAAACATATGCAAATAATTGCTACCAAAATAGGAAAATTCAGTGAAAGAATTTTTATCTGAGAGGAGCAAGTCATTCTACTTGGGGAAATTGGGGAATGCTTATGGATACGTTGATAAGCAAAACATACACACACAGAGTATGGGGAAACTCTGCGAGGGCCATTGATCCCAGAAGCCTGCTTATTTCACCACTGATGACCCAGATTTAAAAATAATCAGGTAGTCCAAAGCCATTTTTTGCCACTGAATATAAACTTCTTGCATAAAATACCAATTATAACAACTCTGATTACTGCTGCGGTGGTACCATGATCCTTTTAATTTTTCTTTCATAGCAATCAATTTATCTGCTGCTTAATTCATATTTATTTAGATTGCAGCCATACAGACGCCTTTTGAGTGCTGCCAGGAAAATTAATATGTACATATAGAGTATAATGTATGTAAAAATGCTTTGACAGCCATAAAGTGCTCTACAAAGTATTAGATTACTATCATTATTTCTTTTTAAGTCTCACTACAAATAGATAAATTTTAACATCATTAATCTTAAAACCATTACCATGAAAAAACCAAGTAGCACAGTCTGTTCTCCTTTCTTTTTAATCTCTTCACTTCTTATCCATGTCCATTTCAAATCATGTCTCACTTGGCACCTTCACAATGCCACCTCTAATTTCCAGAAAATACAGAAGGATACATGACCTGTATATGCGGCCCATTAATCTGTCATGAGAAAAAAAAGGTTAGGGCCCATCGGTCATATTAAGAAATGCTAAGAAATTAAGAAATATTAAAATTCTTTACCAGCAGCCTCAAAAACATATGCAGATGTGTATGTATGTGTTTGTATACGCATGCCATCTAACGGTGCTAAAATTCTTTAAAGAATAAAGAACTTGACAGCTCTTTTACTTTTTCTTTCTGTTTCACACAACAAAAATATAGGAAATGCAGACTTGGCCATTATAACTTTGGTGTAATAGGTGTTTAAACTCACTAACCTCTGCCCTTTTAAAAAGCTATGTATTTTTCGTCAGTTCCTAGAGTTCAAGACACACTTCCAAGAAAGAGGCTGTAAAAAGTGAGAGCAAGGCAACCTTAGAATTTTTGCCTAGGACCTGAGGAATGCATACAAAAGCCTAGAAGCAAAATTCAGAAACAGTAGGAGTGGGATAGACCTTTGTTCTCCCCTCTGGCCAGCTACACGGAAGCCCAGGGTTTATATTCAGAATCTATCCAAAGGTGAAATCTGTATACTACATCCCATGTGATAAAAAGCTACTAGATGTTCTTTGTTCCTAAGCAGTTCACACACTCACCCTCACCTTGCCAAATAGCAAGCACGTTTACCATCTAGAGCAGCGGTCCCCAACCTTTTTGGCACCAGGGACCGGTTTCATGGAAGATAATTTTTCCACAGACAGAAGGGGGAGAGGTGGTGGAGCTCTGTGTCCTAGTCCCTAACTGACCACAGATGGCTGAGAGGTGGGTGGAGGGGGGTGGACCACACATCTAGAGAACCTCAACAGCCTAGGGTCTAACTCCCTCATTTTGCAGATGAGGAAGCAGATGCCCTGACTCCTGGTTTCTACCTTTCCTTTTTACCTCTGTGTCTCCCCTCTTTGTTGGTGCCTATGCTCAGTATCTAACCAGCACTCTCTCCATTTTCAGGAAATTTGCCCCCCGATGTTCTGTGTGCAAGGAGCCCATCATGCCAGCCCCGGGCCAGGAGGAGACTGTCCGTATCGTGGCACTGGATCGCGATTTCCACGTTCACTGCTACCGGTGTGAGGTCTGGTCGAGGCCCCCGCCCTGCCAGTCTGTGGCAGGCACTGGACTGCCCATTAATGCTTGGTTTTCATAAACATAGCAATTTTTAAATGTGAAAAAGGCCTTAGTGCCTGTGGTCATGGGACATGAGCTTTAGATTTGACATTGGCATTTTATATAAGTGATACTGGATAAATCACTTTAGCTCTCTCAATCTCACCTGTAAAAAAGGATTCAAATTCTTAACTACCCCAAATATGGCTATGAGACTAAAATACACAATTGCACATTAAAGGACATTGTAAATTGCAAACTACTAACTTAGTGAGAAATGATATTATTATTATACTGAACCTTTAAGTTTGACTCTGATACTTTGGTTAACTGCTCCCATGGGGCAGAGATGCCGTTGTCACCCACTGAGAAGGATAGGAATTCATTCATTTCAGAGCAGTTGGAATTTCTTGTTCAATGACATGGAGATTAATTTATTGATTAGTAAGCACTGACTGAGTGCTAAAAACAAGGGGTCAGATGGCTGCTAAGGGCACAGGAGAGGCATGCACAAGGTGCTGCGACAATGCACCAAACCGACCCGTAGTCCAGGCTGGGAGTGACAAGGAACGCTTGTGAGAGGAAGTCAGCTAAAACTTAGGGGACATGTTGCCACTAAGACAAAGGAAAGCAAGTCTTTCCCCCTACCATTTGGGTATCAAAAGGGTACCACATCCAGATAATGATTTTAAAATGTTTTCTTATCTTGGTGCTATAAGTTGCCCAGACCCCCTCCTTTGAAGCAGTTTTCTTGTTTTCTACTAGCTCTTAGGAGTACAGTACTTTTCAACTCCTTTGTCTATCTGTGAGGGATAATATGGACTTCCTTATCACCGCATCCTTGTGAGATTGGTGTAGCAGACCTTCCCAGGACACAGGCCGGCAGGGCTGTGTGGGCTGCCCTGGCTCTCTGAGACTACATCCATTTCATTCACTGCCTTAGCTATAATTGACCATCTGTTTTATGTAATGTGCTTTGTTTTGCCCTAGAGCCCAAGTTGCATGCCTCTCTCTGGCCTTAACATAAGAACAGATAATAAAAATTACCAGCTTTTACCCAAGGTTTTATGACTAGGGAAGCAAAGAGAACAACAATGTCCAGTCATCATCTTTAAAATGACCCAAATAGTAAGTGTGTAAAGAGCTGACAGATATTTTAGAGATTTTACTGATGGAGAAACTAAGGCTTAAGGAAGAAAGGCTCGCAACATTCCTCACATGCTTGATATTACATGCCAATACCAGGAGGCTCAGACTTTTAATGGTTTTGGCTTTTGTACTAAGAGTTGCATCAAATGTGCCTTCCCTCCTCCTGAATTAAATGGTAGCTGTACAAATTCGGTTTGCTTTGAAATGCTGAGAATTTTTTTAGAAACAAAACTATGAAACGGGAAGAACACCGAATTAGAAGAGAGAGCAGACCACTATTCTAGTACTGCTAGGACTGTGTAGACACTGCAAAGATCACTTCCCTCTCTGTTCCCCCCCTGCCCCGTCAAGGAGGCTGTGCCCCGCCGGCAAGGCTCCTCTTTGCTCTTTGTGTTCACAGCCTGAGTGCTGTGGGTAACTCTGGGCTCCAGGTGTCCAGATGACTGTAGAGATTCACTCATTAAAGGCTTAAAACTATACTATGAAATATCCTTGTTTCTTTTTATTGTGATGAAAATCTTTTGTTTAGTTCCATTGCTCAGTTTCCCAAATGTTTCTAGAGCTGTGGTATAGCTGCAGGTTCTTTTTGGCAAAGCCAAACTTTCTGTGGAGCGTAACCATTGCTGCTGTTGTCTTCTGGGCGACGCCCTGTTCGAATTTCAATTTCATTATGTGTCAAATGCAGACAGGAGCTTCCACTGACCTCCTTGCCACCGTGGTAGACAGCAGAGGTGAGGTTAGCAGCAGGTGTGGCCTTTTAGAGTTTGTACTAAAGTTAGTAAGGACACACACCACAAGATGAAGTACTATATATTTATTTTCCAAAGAAACTTCCATTTTCTCCAAAGACAATGGCCAGCATTTAACTGTTATATAACACTTTCCGAAATGGACCCTCGGAGGCACTGTCAACAGTAGTATAATCCTTTACAGTTACGCAATTCTTTGCATTTTTTCAGAGTACACTCACATCCATTATCCTCTTTGATTCTCCCAACAGCTTGGTAAAGTAGAAAATGCAGGAATTATTTTCAGAGTGCAATCAGCCTAGGTGTATTGACATAGGCTACATCAGACTAAGGGTGGTGCCCAGGGGGCCTGTCTCCCAGTCTAGCACTCATTACACCATGCTACCTCCTGTAGAAAATACAGCAAACCATCGTTCCCCACAGACTTTAGGATTTTATTGTCTTAACTACAATTGGAGTAAATATGTAGCACCCTTTGGTGACTTTTCTGCTTGGCAGAAATCACTCTACCTTTGCTTTTACCCAGAAATGGCCAAAAAAATTCCATTCCTGCACCTGTACATTCCTTTTGAGAGATCCTTAAACTAATGATAGAGGGTAAAGATGAATTAGCAGTCAGGAATCTATTCTTATTTTCTCTCCTTGTTGTAGTTTGGGTGGGAAAGCAAACCACTATGTGGGAGCCTAGACTTGTGGACTCTCCTCTTCCTGTACCTGTATTTCATTATAAGTAACCTTAGGGAGGTCATTTTTCCATTTGTATTTATGTGCCCAATGTCTAATTCAGTTTAATTCAAGATATTAATATGTTATCTAGTAGGGGAAGGGATGTGGGGGTTGGCGGAATATAAGCAGGAAAGATAGTGGGCATATATTGCCTCAGAATAGAAAGCTAAAGAGTTGTTCTTCACATATGTACTTTACATATTCACTTACATTGTTTCCATCTGTCTTCTTTTTTCTAGGATTGTGGTGGTCTCCTGTCTGAAGGAGACAACCAAGGCTGCTACCCGTTGGATGGACACATCCTTTGCAAGACCTGCAATTCTGCCCGCATCAGGGTGTTGACCGCCAAGGCGAGCACCGACCTTTAGATTCAGTCACCTGTTTAGCTAGTTAGTGGATGGTGCTGAGAAGAACGAAACACAAGAAAAAGCTAAGAAAAGAAATAGGAAAATAGAGGAAAGGCAATCAAACTATGGGATGGTCTCGGTTCTTCATCTGCTATTAACCTTTCATTAGAAACACATAAATTATGAGGTTTTTTTTTTTTTAAGTTCTTACCAAATACACATTTCACATTTAATCATGTAGGACCTTGACGGGCCTTTGTTCCCAAGGACTTCCACATTTTTGCACAGATTATACTCCATCCCATTCACTTCTGCATTCCTGTAACTTTTAATCCCTATGTTTGTCTCACTTTTCATCTGGTTGAATGGCTTTTTTTAGTGTGGTATTTGCTGTCACACAGTTTTTCCTGGGTGAGTCTGCCAGCTCACAGGTGCTTTTAGGCTTGATGTCGCCATCCTATCGTTTCCACATTGCCTGTGATCATAAAGGGTAGCCATTCTTTTGCTATGTATTGAAAACTATATTTTTCTATTGCTCTATACCACTCATGCCCCTTGAGGGAAAAGTACACGATTTCTTTGTTAGGCTATAAAGAATTTAAGTTGTAAATTACATAAGTGAAAACAAGCCCAAATTTAATTTGTAACCTTCCAAATTCAGAATCTGTAGTGACCAGTGGTTAGGGCTCATTTGAAAATAGTTATTGGCCCATGGGTAATAAGTGGTGAAAGAAAACCAAGCTTTAATCTTTTCTAAAGAAATTATAGGTGGGATAGACTGAAAAAAGCATTTTGGGGTATGCTTAAAAAGGCCATTATCATATCACGATATTACCTTAAGATTTTCCTCTTCCACACTAACTTGACATCATAATACAAACTTGATTTCCTCTAGAATATAACGTTTCTGATATAGTCCCACTTTTCATCTTAGAAATATTGTCATTTTTTTCCTAATAGCCAACACAACTATCAAAATTAACTTTTTCTCTAGAGGAAGATAGCTGTAAAAAACAGTTCAAATTCTATTCTTTTCTTTTCCCCAGGTCCAAGTCCTTTTTGTCTGACAATTGCAAATCAGGGCATATAAAATAAAATTGTGTAGTTTTGTTTAGTTTACTTATAAAAGAAAGGAAAGCTTGAAAAGATTGTGAAACCACAGTTTCATTATTCTCATAATCCTTCTGCAACTCAAATTACATATTGCAGGAGACATTTTCATATCATCGATGTGACATTTACACCACACTTTCAAAGACAATCACTGAAAAAAAATTGTCTTTCTGGAGCTAAAAATATGCAGAGTCTCTGCCTAGAATCTGTATTCAAATTCTTTATTAGCCAGTGAAACACTTGCTTGCCAACTGTAGAACCATACTTATTAAGTTCTAACATGTTTCATTTAAGGAGAGACACCTAGCTTAGTAGTGGCAAGTTGCCATTTTGTAAACTAATTAAGTATTTTGGATTGAGATTTCTTAAATCTTTCTTCAGATCTTCTGCAAGTATATACTTTTAAATTATGGAGTATTTTAAATATACAAAAAAGTATAAATAATAATATAATGAATCCCTGTATACCTAATAGTCATTTTAAGAAATCAGATATAACAAATGTAATTCCATCACCCTGTGTACCTTTCCCTTATTCCACAAATATCTTTTTCATGATTATGAAGTAATAGTTTCCTAGTCCGATTTTTTTTTAATTTTTAATTTTAACATCCAGAAAAGAAATGAAAAATTATTGGTATATATTTTAAATCACAACTCATACCTCAGGAATTCCAGTTAAATTTATTTTACTTGAACAGGAATAATCATAAAAGTGATTCTTTTTTTTAATAAGAAATTCTTATGCCTATGGTCACTACAGCTCATCTAAGTTAATTTATAGATCATTTGGTATTGTCACTAGTTTTGTGTTAGAACCACCAAAGTTATAGATAAGAGCCTCTTTTGACCACTGTCTTTTTCTTACTTTGCTTCTCTTATCTTTGATCTTATATTTCTCATAATGTGAAACATAATAACATTCACTTAGGGTCAGCATGTGAGTTTTAGAATACAATAGCAACTGTGTCCCTGAATTCCTATCTTCCAACTTAAAGGCCAGATCATGCTGATGACCTCAAGGAACACTGACTATTACACATAATATAATCTGAATTGATTCAGTAACATATTTTTTATGAAATACTTGGGGAAAATTCTCTTTAGGCCAAAGCAAAGAGTCCAATTTATTGAGGGATAGATGTTTATCTCGTAAAGCAGTCATATTATTATAAATTTTGCCAAAAGGAGAATTTATGAAATATTTATACTATAAAAATGCAATAGCATTCTACTTGCTGGTTACATTTAATTCCTCATGTAACTGAATGTTTACATGCCAAAAGAAAAAGTTATAAGAAAATGCTGTCACAAACCCATCACTGTGGCATTGCCAGCAGAACACTGCTTGCTTGCAGTCTTTATAGTGCATTCTTATCACATAACCTCAGAGTATCTTTACCAAAGATTTTTAAAGTAAATCTCTTTTTAATATAGACTTATACATTTATAATAATGAATGTGCACACATACATATGCAGAAATATTTAGATTTAGATTTTTTTTTCTTTCATAAGGTATAATAAGGAAAGGATCCTACCATATTTTATTCCAGGATTTCTTGAATATATGATTTACATTGCTTTCTTGTCTTTTCTATTAATCATTTGATTTAAACAATGCCGAGTCACTCTTTACTGCTTTAGTTACATGAAATTTTGCCTATAACAGAGATACAAAGATCGTATTACCTTAATGATTATAATCATATTGTCTTTTGATATATTGTATTATCATTTAAATACATAAATAATAGAAAAACCTCATAGAGTCTATAACAAAGTTTGTAAAAAACATACCGGTTTTAAAAAATCGTCAAGACTATAAAGATTTGGTATTCTGTGTAACAAGACATGGAAAAGGAAAAAAAACCCACTAGGTCATGGGCTCTGCAGACGATTTCAAAGTAAAATTTTTTAATTGTCTGGGTCCCCAGATCATGCCGATTCCACGTGGAGTCTCATTGGCAAACAAAATTGCCTTTAAAACTCAAAAATAAGTCATTTGTCCCAGCAGAAGACATTAGGTTGTGAGATGCTGACATCTCTGCAGCTCAGAGTTATGGGTTCTTTTTCTTGCCATTGTTGTTCCTTGTAGGCGTGACTTCTCTGATCAAAATTACTTTATTGGGTATATGCTGATTAATGAGGTGGACTTATCAACACCATCATTGTTTTCTATGAAAGATTCTGCAAAGATGTTTATGGTGAGGTTTAAAGGATATAAAACTCTAACTACAGTTAAATAACTATTTTATATTTGGGTCCAGAGGAAGAAAGAGAGTGCTTTTTCCATGGGGCTTTAGGAGAGTTAACAGAATATAACAGGACTCTAAAAACAGAACTTCCAAACATTTTCCTAGTTAGTACAAATCCTATTAATGTGAACCAGCCAGGAATAACAGTGTTATTTCTATTTGATATGGTTTGGGCTTCTCTTGTCAAATCTTTGTCAGCTGTCCCCTGATCCCTCCATTATCGTGTTTTGAAGGGTGTTGGGGAAATTATGGCAGCTGCTAGGGAGATCAGGGAAACACTGATATAACCTCACAGCCTCTCGCCATTCCTCTTGGCTTGAAAAGGCTTTATTTTTTCATATGCATTTCTAGAAATATTGCTATTCTACCTTAGTATTTCACATTTGTAGTTTAAACAACCGATTGTCCATCTGTTGCCTAGAGCTATAGTACATGTGTGTTATGAATGAAATATGACAGCATGTTCCATACCCCTGCTTTAGCCATCTGTAGGAAACCAGCAAACTGAAAAAGATATACCTCTGCAAAATGTGCCTCAAGTCCGTTTCCTGGGATTGCTCGTTGGATGCACGCTCATGACAGACAACCAGAGAGCAGCGTATATTTGTGCCTTATTTTCAAAGAATCTATTTACACTACTATGAATATTTTACTGAAGAGTCAATAACATAAATAGTAACCCCCAAATCTCAAAGATATTCTCATCAAAAAGTTAAACAAAACCCAGAGAAGTCTGAACTTTTCATCTTAACGTATTCTAATGGTATTTCTTTTCTCCTTGTCTTGGGAGTAGCTAATAGGTCCCTAAATTAGTAAAACATTCTTATGCCGGAAGGTGATATATTGGATGTTGTTAGTGTTTATGATTTGATCTTACTCTGGTTGTAGTCAGATAATGAAAACAGAGACTTCAGCTTGAGCTTTTAACACCCATACTGCATATCAATTTTTTAATTGCTTTGGTTTTGTTTGTTTTTTTAACAATAGAACAAGTTGGACATTCTGGTTCTGAGTGAGGAATTAATATGGGCAGCCATAAACATTTCAGGTCAAGTTATTTACTTGACAGGTAACTAGGATGAAACTTTTCTCATTAGGCTGTTGGGTTAGCATAGCTTTACTTCAATCATGTAGAAAGTTATCTGAGACCGGGACTTATGGTTCTTCTTCTCTTTCTCCCTCTCTCCCTTCCTTTCTCCCTGCTTCTTCCTTCCTTCCTTCCTTTCCTTCTTCTCTACTTTCCTTACCTCCTTCATTTATTTTCTTCATCCTACTTATTAATGCTACGGTGCTTGGACTTTTTATAAATTAAATAGATGCATTATGATCCTCATGGGATTGTGATCATACTAAAGGGAGCAGTTACCAGAAAATATCTGTGGCATCCTTAAAATCTTCCTTTAAAAGGGCATATTTTTCAGGTTGTGTTTATTCAGAAAGTGAAGTGAGATCATAGTCTTTCTGTTTTATTTTAATAAATTTTCACTGGGACTCAGATCATAGATTTTTGGCAAATTCAGTTGTGACTGATATAGTTTCCAAGCTATATGCAAAGTGATTTTTCTAAGACCAGGTTAAGAATTTTTAAATAAAGCATTTTGACCACAGAACAACCATATTTTTAATGGTGGCATATTATTTTATTCCATTGAAACTTGATAATTTTCTTTATGACAAGGAAAAACTATTATAATATCTTTCTAGAATTTTAACACAAATCAGCACTTAGCCCATGATAATAATATTAAATCCTAATAGTTGAATCACATTTAGCAGTAGGTCAGCACCAGAG